CGCTCTGCAAGGGGGAGCGCGCCATGAGGCTGCGTGAGCTGCTCTTCTGCGACGAGGGGCTGGGGGACAAGTGCAGCCTGTGGGGCAGAAGTGGGGGGGTGAGCGCAAAGGCGGGGCCAAGACTTGGCTATGCCCCAACCCAGCTCCTCCCCCTCTGTGTTGGCCACCCCCTCAACTAGGGTCCTTCCCATCCTCAATCGCCTCCTTGGCCACGCCCTCTCGCAGACATGCCCCCAGTCATGTTCCTCCTACACTGACATTGGCCTTGCCCCCAACTAGGCTCCATCCAATCCCCAGCCAGGGCCCTCCTCACTCTCCTTGGCCACACCCCCATCAGGGTCTCTTAACCAAGCCCTTCCCACACTCTTTGGCCACACCCCAGCTAAGCTTCTCACCCACAGTCATTGGCCACACCCCTAGCATGGCTTCTTCCCATCCTCCTTGGCCACACCCCGCAACTAGACCCCTCCCCACGTTAGCCACACCCACCCTCCTTCACCACACCGTCAATTAGACCCCTCCCCTGCTTTGGCCACACCTCCCAACCTCCTTGACCACAACCCCACTTGAGCCCCGCCCCCAGACCCAGGTGCCCACACCTCTTTTCCTCGCCCTCCAGCAGCTTGCGGTAGCCGTGGATCTCCATGTCCAGGGCCAGTTTGATGCCCAGCAGGTCCCGGTACTTGTTCATCTGCTGCTGCATGCACTCCCGCATGTCAGCCATCTCCCGCTCCTTGTCGGCCAGCTTGCTCTCCAACTCCTGCTGCCGCCACTTTTTGATCTCCACCAGCTGTCTCTCATAGCTCTGCTTGGTCTCCCGCAGCTCCTGGGGATGGAGAAGCAGGCACATAAGCCCCGGGATCCCCTGGTGCAGCCCCTGGGGTCCCTCCTTAGCTTGGCCCAGCCTGACCCACCTTGCTCAATGTTTTCTTCTGGAACTCCAGCTCCTCCTTGAGTGTCTGCAGCTGGTTCTCAGCGTCCACACGACGGAGCATCTCATCCTGCAGCTGGCGAGGGAAGCAGGGAGTGAGTGCAGATGGAGGGAGGCACTGGGGTCTCAGACAGCAGGCCTGGGTATGCTTTTGGGCTGGAAATCTGCACCCTGGCATCTAATTTTCATGCTGTGCATATGCATACCCTTGCTTTGCATAACCTGTCCCCATTCAAGTGCAGAGATCAGCCTTGGGGCTGGCTGACTCCCTGACCCCAGCAGCCCTGACCCCTGGGCTGCGGAGCAGCCTAGGGCATTATAGCACAGGGCTGGCATCACTCACCTTGGCTACTTGTGCCTCCAGGGCCCCGACTTTTTTCTCTAGGTTCCTCTTCTCGTCATGGGTGGTGGTGAGTGCGGCCTCCTGGCTCCTGAAGGAGGATTGGGTGTACTGCAGGTCTGCTTCCTTCTGGGCACTGATGGAAGAGAGCGACCAAGGCCGTCAGGGGAGCAGGCGCTCCCAGCTACATGCAACCAGAGTATCCTCCTGGTCCCACGTGCACCCAAAGCACCCCCCAGCCCAGAACAGCGGCAGCTCCCTGGACTCCAGGTCAGCCTGCCATAGGAATGCACCGGCTTGACCTGGAACTCCACATTTTACCTGGCTTTTCCCCCAGATTTTGGCCCTAAAAGGAAAATTTTTCATGTCCCGAGTCAAATCAGCTAAATCAATTCCAAATCCATGTGAATCATTCAAGAACTATATGTGGCCCTGCTACCAGCAAACATCCTCCACCCCTGCCTGGGGCTTCAGATACTTCCAAATCCCTTGGCGAGCATCCTACGTGCAGGCCCAAGCCTGGAGGCTTGGGGTTTGGATGCCACCAAGTTTTGCTTGCCCTCAGCCATATGGCCACAGGAGCAAGCTAGGGACGAGTCTCCTATTTTCATTAAGGCTGACCTGAAAAGGGGCTGAGGGGGTTGTTCCTCCAGAGGATTCCATCTGACTCAGATTAATCCTCTCTAAACCCAGCCCTGCCCCCACCTCCCCCCAGCCCCTGCCCACCCTCCAAAAACCTCACCTCGACCCTATATCCAGCCACCCCTGTTGTGTTGGCATCAGCCTGGTCCTGACTGTCCCCGTGCCCCCAAGAGCTGACCAAACCTCGACACCCACAGAAGGGGTCTGGGATCCAACCAGATCACAGAGGCCATGCAAGCTTCAACCTTTTGGAGGTTTCAAACCAAGGCCTGATGCCGAGTTCCAAAATACTGCAAGAGAAATAACAGCCACTGCATATAGGAGATGGGACTGGTCTGATGGCAATGTGTTCACATGGCCACTAGCACGTCTGGACCGCAGGGCCTTGGGAGGTGGAAGGAGCCGCTGGGATGCCAAGGGCAGGCCCCCTCGGGCACTCGCATTCCCAGGTGCTGGATAAGAGGTCCTTCTGCTCTCAAAAATGTTCCCCATTGGCACGGCCATGTGTCCGGCTCCACGCCAGATGGTCACGGTGCACTTGCCCCCACACTAACGCTCCAGCACAGGAACGCAAGATCTCTGGGTAGTGAGGGGGAAAAGTCCACACTCTCTGCACCTGCTTTGCAGCTCAGCCCTATTCAAAGCCGCTGTCAAGGGGGACTTTGCTCCCAGCCACGTCCGTGCCCATGTACCGGATTTTCAAACAGATGCTGCACGCTCTCTCTGCCAGACACCTACATCCCTGAATGCTGCTTCCAGCACCTGCCTCGGTCCGACGGTTTGAATTGCAATGGCTGAAGCCCACCCACGCTTTGGGCTGTATGGGTGACATGGCAAGTCTCTGCCACACTGCGCCAACAATACAAAGATGGCCCCACAAGCCAGCTTGGGGAAACTGAGGCATAGATGGACTAAGGGAAGATGTAGCAAGGCAGGGCAGTGACACCCAGCATCCTGGATGCCAGCGCACCTATCACAGAGCCTTGCCTTTGAGAACAGAGGCTGACCCCAGCGTTCCTACTTCCCTAGTCCCTGAGATCAAGGGCTTTGAAGCCTCGGAGCCATCTAGTCCCGGCTTGGCTGGAAGCACAGGGTTTCAGGGCAGAGGTTCATGCACCAGGATCCCTGCCATGGGGACTCCCTGCTGTATGATGGGGTGTTCCCCAGTTTAACCGAGGGAGGGGTCCCTACAAACCGTGCCCGAGGGGGAAGGGCATTCAGAGAGGAACCCTCGTCTGCCTGCTTTGCATATGCGCAAATGAGCTGTGCAGGTGGCAGAGATGAAAGCTCGGGCTCCTCACTCTCACCCCACCCCCTCCCTGGGGGTCCTGCTACAGCCCTGCATTTGCTACATCTGCAGTGGTGGCAGCTGCAAAGCTGACTGGAGATTGGTGCCCAGGCCAGGGCAGGCAGCTTGGCCCAACACCCACCTGCAGCAGTTGTCTGCCCGCAGTTGTCCCAGCTCACACGGAGGCTATTGAGGCCTGTGGGGTTGGGGGTGGAGCAGGGAACAGGTGGATCCTCCATGTCCTGGGAGCCACCAAGCTATGTATAGAGCCGGGATAGCAGAGACATGGAGGGCCTGGCTGGGCAGCTCCGGGGAGGAGGGGCAGGCAGGAGGGGCCATGTAAAAGCTGCTGCAGAAGCCCCTTGGCCTTGACCCTGGCAGAGGCACATAAGCTGAAGGGCCTGCTGCCAAGCAGTTCCCACAACCAGCCTCCCACCCATGCTTCCCAGAGCCAGAATAGTGACTGCAAGCAGAAAAGCATTTGCACGTGCCCAAGGGATTTAGGCACTCACCATGTTCTTGTGTAAGCATTCCTCCTAGGCCATATGCCTGGGAGCAGAGAAGGCAGCCACAGAAAGCAGGGGGCACAGCTCCCGAATAGGGATCCACACGTGCTTGGGGCATGTTACTATACTAGGCTCACAAGTGCCCCCACCCTCGTGCAAGGATGGGGCAGATCCCCAGATCTACAAGCCTCACACTCCTTGTGTGAAACCGTGTGGACGGGGCTCTGGGTGTTCACAAGTGTCATGCAAGACGGGGAGGAAGTCACAAGCGTCTCTTTGTCGTGTACCAACAGGACAGGCAGGGACCCTGGCGGTCACAAGCCTCGTGCAAAACAGTGCAGAGGAGGCAGCAAGGGTATGCCTGGTGCCCCTTCTCCCAGCCTGGCACTGGCCCCCCACAAATCTGCATGGAGCCGCACTGCAGGCTGGGCCCCCTCGCTGGGGCGCTGGTACTGGGATGCGGGAGGCAGGGGTGGAGGCCGCCCTTCCCCAGGCTCCAGCTCCCTTCATCTTCGTGAACAAGAACCCGGCTGGGGGTCGGGGGAGGGGAAGGGGATGAGTTGCTGCCGGTGTAATTGGGGTAGGGCCGGCAATTCAGGG